TCATGGATTACAAGAAAAAAAACAAACATTTTGATCATGGATTTCAAACAATTCGATCATGGATTACAAAAAATTCTATCATGGGTTAACAAAAAAAAAAAAAACAAAAAATTCAATCATGGATTACAAAAAAAAAAAAACAATTAACGATCATGGATTACAAAAAAATCGAATCAAGTATTACAAAAAAATCTATCATGGATTAAAAAAAAAAAAAAAAAAAAAATACCTTACGGGACTCGCCGATTCACTGTACGGGACTCGCTGATTCTGTTCAGTGAATCGGCGAGTCACTGTGCAAAATCGTCCGGTTCTCTCTAGAACCGAACGATTCCCGTTTTTTCGCCGATTCGATCCGTCCATGGCGATTCTCGAGTTGAACCGGGCGAGTCCGGTTCGACTCGGCGTTTTTTTAAACACTGGTTTATAGTGTTGCAACATTTATGTAGAGAACACATCGCATAAATTATAGTTAATGAAATCATGATGCACTCATGAACTTTATGCAGAAATGCATGGAACGGAAACCAAATACCCTTCAACAAGGGTAATTTTTTTCCTTTATCTAATTAGGTTTTTAAGAAAAGTAAAACATGAAGATATAACATCCATGAATTACATGACTGAAAATTTTGCCTAAATCAACCTATGACTCCTATTCAAAGAAACAGGGCAACTGAGAACAAAACATCAAGCATAGATTAACGTCAAACAGGAATTGCATACATTAATAAGCCCATCTGAGTGGTGCTGAGACCCTTTTGAAAATCTTTCTTCCAGGACAGCAGTTTTAACCTTTTCCTCCAAGGTTTTCCCTTCAGATGGCAAGTTATGATGAGTCTGCTTCTTAATGAAACCTGAGGAACTTAAACAGCACCATTCTTAATCAGAAATAAACACTTAATTAGAGAGATCTGAGGAAACAAAAAAAGAAGAAAGGAAATGTCGATGGAATTCCTAGCTAGCATACTAGTATATTTCTACTAAATAGAAACAGGTTACCTGAATCAAATACATCATGCAAACTATCTCAGTCAGAGAGTAAATATTAGTTTCAATAGAACTTTTATGACACATACAATGAATAAACAAGGACATATAACATAATAGTCATGGATCCTCGGTACCTATCTTTAATTTTGGACAACCAAGAATACCTTTTCCAAAATACGAAGTGGCATCTTTATACTTTTAATTACTTTACATGCCTTTATAGCAATATATAAGGCCAAACTTTTGAAAATAAGTCAAACACAAGGGTAAGATAGTCATATTTGGAGCTGAAAGGTGATTTACATGAAAGGATGGAGCTTTTAAGCCATTTGAGAAATAGCCTTTTGCTAATTTACCCCAAAAGTAATTATAGAACACAGATGAGCTGCTCAATGCAAATGCCTTTCCATTAAGCAGAATCAATGGCCATCCAGCTATTCAAAAAATCTCTTCAACTTGAAATCGTACCTCATCCAGCTATTCAACTCGATTCTCCATGGACACTTTATTGTCATAGTACTAGTGTGTTTCAAGTTATTTCTAATCAGTATTCCACGATAGGACCAGAATAGATTAGATCAGTGTTTCAGACTCAGGCACGTCAACCTGGACTCGCCTGGGTAACTCAGACTTGGCAGGATACAGCCTATGTCCCCCCAAAACTTGTGTTGTATATAAGTCATTTATAATTAATTATAAAGGATTTGTAATTAATTTAATCTTTGACTAAATCAATTATAGTTGACTCAAAATTAGTTTTCTATGTACTTCTACTGTTTTATGATGTTTTTTGTTTTTCTAATTTTTCTAAGAAGATAATTATTTTTAATCAGTTTTCCTTTTTTCCTTTTTAAACAAATTTTCTCGTCATTTATATACTCTTTGTTTTTCCCTTTGCTATGATTTTTTAATATTTTTTTGGATTTTTGGCTCTTTGGCCAACTCAATGCGAACTTGGTTAAGTTGACTCGGACTCTCCCGAGTAACTCGAGCAGACCAAGGCCTGAATTCCAAAAAAGGAGCCAAGTTTAAAACATTGGTTGATACAGGTAGTCAAGTTTTTTGAAGAAAGCATACTATTTCTCTCTCCCAATTAACCACAAAGTAATAGTTGTATATTTTGTTCAGTAAGGCTCTAACAAATTCTCATCATAATTAAAATAGTGGGGAAAATATTTTCCTTTTTTTGAGAACTCGGGCATAATATTTTTCCCTCATTGGTTAGACGATGAGGGTGAGTTTGGAGCACTGACAAATTACAGGTTCTCGGAACATAGCTATCGTTTTTCATCAGCTGCAGTTCTAAATATGTAGTTGTCTAATAACAATAACTTGGGCCTTTGTGCATATACCCTAACCAGCTAACCAAGAGAGATTAGATAAAAACAAATTTTTAATACTAATCTAAATAAAACCTTAATAAATATTTACGTTTCTTAATTAATTTCAAAGTTCATTTATATTTCCATGTTTATTGAAACTCACATAATTAATCTTTACTTGAACTTTTATGCTTAGTTTTATTTCTTAGATTCCACCGTTTTCTACTTTCGTTCTAACATTGATACCTATTTTTTTGAAAAAAGTTATCTTGTTATTATGATTGAAATATCTATTTTCTTAGAAATTCCTTTTTAACAAGTGAAATGGAATTTCTTTCTTAAATTTTTAAATTTTATTTTCATTTTCTTATATTACTTCCCTTGTTCCTATTTCTACTCTAGTTCATCTTTAAAAAAAGGTGGGACAAGTTTTAAGGGGAGAGAGACATGAATTAAATTCTCCTTGGTCAATTATGATTAGAGAGAGAAGCCTATCAAAGAGCCTATCCTAAAAAAGCTTATCTACAAGAGTAATAAATAGAGAATTTAGGGAGTTTGGACTTGTTAATTTGAACACCATGTGTGTATGCATGCATGTATATGTATGGGTGTATTCTAATTTGGACCAACCATTATGCCAAGATCTTAGAACCTTAAGTCCTTAAGTCAGGGAGCCTGTCTAAGGTTTTTAAGTGGAAGTACTTTTACTATTTTGCCCTTTCTCTCCCTCCCCTGTTAAACCATGCCCCGTTGTCTTTCTTGCCCTTTGCCAGCAAAACCAGTGCAACAAAGAGAAAAGCATAGAGGCTAGCAATAAGAGGCCAATATTCTTGATCCCAAATAGAGCATCGTCACTGCATGTAGTCATAAAAACAACATCACTATAACACCTAGGCCAAAACCATGAGATTGGACATTTCGTTTTCTTAGAGAGGGATCATGGTTCTCCTTGTTACAACAATTATGGATAAAGTACGGGGTTAAGAAAAAGAAAATCAAAACTTCTACATGAACTCATATAAGTAGTTAATGTTCAATCTCACGAAAATGTCTCTTATTTATCCTTAAATTGTATTTATAGGCAAGCAGAGCTCTCCACACCACTTATCAAAACTTTGTTTCCAGGGTGATTGCCTTCGTCTAACTCTTGAGACTGAATCAATTTGACAATATACAAGCCCTCCAAAAACCTGATCAAATACCACATGCCTCATCGTCATACAAACCCATCATAATTTTCCCCATTGGCTTCCCAATAGTTATATTATAATAAACTTTCTTGGTGACCCTCACTTGCAATTCCAGAGTCTTCAACTGTACAAACAGAGAAAACTAATGTGACTCTCCTTTGTGTGGAAGAAGGGTGACATAGAAGGAGCTTTGAGTCAGATTATGAGAGGGTTGAGGAGAAATTGCTCACTAGTAGGAATTTCCTAAATTTCAGGAAATAAAAATAGTGAGAGATTGGATTTGTTGGTTAGTTTTGCATGAAAGATAGATGGAACGCAATTTTGGGGTATGAAAGTGACTCTTTAGTGGAAACCTCGAGGATGGAATGAGTGTAGCATCTTGAGTGCTCATCCTAAAACAAAGTGTGGGAGACAAAGACGAAGGATGAAGAATCACAAAGGAAGGGAGTAGGAGAGAGTGAAAGGATAAAAAGGTGCTCTAATACACCGTAACAATGTGTATTTAAAATATATCGGATTGGATCATCCTGCCTGTATATTAATATTATATATAAAAATGCCATTTCATAAGGGTACATATGTACCTGCAGGGAATCAATCCATAATTACAATATAACTTGATCAACAAACATTACAAAATGAGAATAATACATGTTTTTACAACATGTTAACCTCAGTACTTTTCCCTACATTACTCAAGACTTGTTTGGCTCTGCTTTGTTTTAAGTTTCCATCATTCCCAAATGTATTGTTTTAGACATCTACTTATACATTTTACAAGAAGAAATGAAATTTCATTAACCATAAAAAAAAAAAATATGTTTCCCACAATGTTCAAGTATGTACAAAATAATCATGAGTGTAACAGTTAGAAGGCAACCTTTTCCAATAATGTGATCAAAAGTTCTTATGTATTTTGATGTTCTCTACTGACCTAGTGCAGATGAAGACTGTTCCAGATAAAATCAAAACAAACATAACAAGTTCTCAATGCAAAAGCCTGAAGGCAAGGATTCAAAACTTTAAATAAAACATCAATGATATAACTGTAATAAACGTTCTCAAAAGATAAAATTTTCTCTAATAAAAGCCAAAAATAAACTTCATATCCCAAATGCATTCTTAAGACTAAATTTTTCACCAATTTTATGGCAAACTTGGGCTTTTTTCATTACCATTGAGCACAATTCTAGGTTTTCTACAGATCATCAATAAAATCACTAACATTCAAAATCACTTAATTAAATTTTCAAAATAGATCATCATCATCATCATCATCACCATCCAAGTATTATCTCAACTATTTGTCTACATGAATCATGTTCCGTCATGCCACTCTGTCAAGGGCTATAACCTCATTCAGACCATAAGTTACCATATCCTTCTATTACTTCCATCCATGTTCTTATGGGCCTTTTCCTTGCTCTTTTAAAACCTTCGACATGAACCAAATCCCCCCTCCTAGCTGTTGTTGTCAACATTGCATATGGCCAAACCACCTAAGTCATCTTTGTTGTCAACATTGCATATGGCCAAACCACCTAAGTCATCTTTCCATCATCTGATCACCTACTGGAGCCACCCCTAAGTTCCATCAGATATACTCATGCTTCCATCCATACCGTCAAAATATATTGTGATAATAAACTTCTTAAAGACTAATGAAGATAATAACAGCACCCCTTAGGCTTCAACTTGCTCATAGACATATCGGCTTGCACAAGGGAGGTCAAGAGTTCAAACCTTTGAAGTATGTACCCAAAATCCCCAACGAGCAGACTTAGCCTCTTTAAAATGAATATAATAATAGTACAAATAATACTACAACAGATAGAAAGGGCATAGTAAGCACTATTACTGCTGCTACTGATGATGACGGACCTGCCAAAAAGTGGATATTGACAATGGTGAAAATGATACCGTTCTTGATACTAATAGTAGAAATTACAGTGAAATTTTTGCTACTATTACCATTATCAAATCTTTCATATTTAAAAAAATGCTATGGAGCACTTACAGGTAACTAACATCAGTGTCTTTGAGGAGAGCTGCAATCCTACTAGCTTGTGCAAGTATCTCAAGACGATCAATGAATTGAAAGTTTTGATAGTCGAAGACTGAGAGGTCTGAGCTGAGAGCTCCGCAAAAAACTGGAAGGCTGGGCAAGGGCAAGCAAGGAGAAATCTCTGTATATGAAGTGCTGGATAATCTATAGGCCTTTTTTGTCGCTGAAATCATTGCGTTTTTCATGACTTGAGCTCATCATGAAAAACAAAAACTAAACACCAGAAAATTACACTGTCAATGCCCACATTAGGGCTCATCTCTTCAGAACTACACCATTAATGGATAGACATAGTGGTTTTCACCTGAATTTCTCAGGAACATGGCGGGAATCATTGCTCATAGGCTCGAAAAATACATGAAAGACTATAATTAAGATCAGAACCGGAAAATCACACAGTGATCAATGGAGCTAGAATGAAGTCACTGAAAACTCGAGAAGAACAGTGACACAAACTGTAATGGATGAATTACGGCAAAGAAATGCAATTACGGGAAAAAATAGGACTAAAGCCTATTGAATAGCCTGATGAAGGCTTGTAAAAATCCAATAATTCTAAGTTGCAGAGAAATGGCGGGTAAAAGAGGAGAGACAAAATTTAGGTCAATACCTTTACTTGCATTTACAGACAAATGCGGGATGCGTTCGCGGGTGCTAAGATGTATTGGTAGAAAAATTACTATTGTACCCTTATTATTTATCCGATTGTCTTAAAGACCCCGGGTAGGGAGCGGTTTTTTTTGGGGGGAAAATATTTAGTTTAAATTATGTGAAAAAAACTCATGATTTGAGCCATCCGATTTATTCATAACCATCCGATTCACTGAAAATTAGAACAGCGTCTTTAAAGGCATCGAATTCATATACCAGAACTCCTTTGGTTTCCAGGAAATAAGTTTTTGGGAGACCTATTTCCATACAAACGGCTGGTAAATGTTGTTTGGATGCCCCCTTAGGTTAGAAGTCACATTTTTACTTGGAGACCGATTTTCACGTTTAAAAATGTTTTTTTTTTCTTTTGTGGAAATATCAATTCCACCAAAATAGGTGGAATTCACATTTTTGGGATATCGTAAGAGAGCCGCAAGACCTAAAAACTTGAAATAAGTGGTGGTAATAGGCAGGGTGGTCCGGCCCGACCCTAAAAACTAGGGTATGAGCGTGGCATGAGGGCCAAGCAACCATGGCCCAAGGGTAAGGCTTGGGCGAGCCTAGGCCATGGCTAGCCCGGTTTGGCCATCTTTCTCTTTATTTTGTTTATATTTTTTCATTTTATTAATCATGCCCTTGATGTGGTTAGGGCTGAGCCTGGGCCAGGACCCTTTTGGCCCAGTTAGGGCCGAGCTGAGCTTGAGTCGACCTTTTGGGAACTAGGGTTGAGCTAGGTCCACGCCTGGCCCTACCCTTTGGGGACTAGGGTTGACCCAATTTAAACCTAATCCAATAGATAAAAATTAAAAGAAAAATACAATTGTTCTTCAAAAGTAGGACTTGAATATAAAATAAAAATAAAAATGACTAATTAAAAGTTAAATTTCTCAATATAATTTAAATCTACACCACAAACCCGTTTTTTCTCCAAGATTGAGACTCTAAAAAGCTCTAAAACATTCAAATAAATAGTCCTTCAGGAAAATTTGATTTGGAGCTCGTGATATGCTCCATAACTGTTCCATTTATTGAAATGGACGTTTAAGATTAGATTTTAAAGCAGCAGCATAAATGGCGCACATTCAGGGTCCAAAAGATTGCATTTTGGGTAATGGAAAATACTATGTTTGGTTAACCACTTTGGAATTACGGTGGGCTTTTGGAAAACTATCTTTGATTTAAGTTGAGATATTGAAAATTAGGAGATCTGAAAATTAGCCACTTTCAACCCATTTATTAAAGTTTCCATTAATGAGATAGAAATATTTGTTAAAGGAAAATTGTTCCATGAGTCTGTGGGAGCAAGAGCCCACCAACTCTTCAACGTCCATCTTTGAGATGGACGTTATGTACAACGCACGGTGTCAATTCAACTATGGTGCTAAAACATACCCACAAAGAAAACACATTTTAAAGATAAAAAAAATAATTTTTTTTTTCATATTTATGATCAGCTTGGCTTAGATGGTGAATCTCTAAAATTTCAGAAGTAAAATCTATCTTTCAGGTGAATTTTGGTGGGGCCACACGAGTACATATGAGTCAGCTAACTCATAGAAACCTCATCCTTTGTTAAATGAATGAGATTTTGAAATCATAACTCATCTACAGCCGGTCAAGTGAAATAGACGTGTATCACATTAGAAGGAGAAAATTTGGATAAGGTGCGAGCATGTGTAAGTATTTCGATTCTTTTTTATTTTTCCTATGCATCAAATAGAGCAAAATTTTGGGTTTTCATACTTTTCACCCTCGATAACCTATAAAAAATAAATTGGACAAAGTATTATTATAAAAGGACACGGTTAGTGTGCGACCAGCCCGCATATTGTAGAAATGTGGGTATGAAACAATTGTTCTTATCGAAATACAGTCGATAGCATATCTTTTATATATATATATATTGGATTGAGCTAAATTTTGGTTATCTATGCTTATATATATACACACACACATTGGATTGAGCTAAATTTTGGTCATCTATGCTTCTCCCCCTTAAGCACTTATAAAAAACATAAAAATTCTAAGAAAAAAAATGTTGAAACACCTTTGAAACTCTACAATCACCTAAATTACTTTGGATCTCAACCATCAAATCTTGATTGGGCATTCTAGAGCATGTCATAGTATTTCAATTTTAATTTTTTTTTTGTTTTTGTATGGGTGGGTCTAAAAATCTTGGTTTGATTTGATTGGACAGTCTAGAGCATGTCAAAGTATTTCAATTTAATTTTGTTTTGTTTTTGTGTGGGTGGGTCTAAAAATATTGGTTTGATTTGATTGGACAATCTAGAGCATGTTAAAGTATTTTAATTTTAATTTTTTTTGTTTTTCTGTGGGTGGGTCAAAAATCTTGGTTTCTACACATCTAAATGACCTACACTTATAAAAAAAATATTTTAAACTTACCATTTTAAAAATAAAATGACTAATTTGCCCCTAAGACTTTGAGGGGTATTTTGGTTATTTTAGATTATATGAATTGCTTTTTGATATTATTTGTAGAAAGCGCATAATTAGGTGCACATACCCTCGAAATTTCATGATATGAGTTAAAAAAGTTAAAAATATTTGAAGCTTTGTGCACATTTTAAAAGTGACAAAAGAAAATCCAAAGGAAATAGTATATAAGGTTGCAACCTTAAATGTAGAATTACATATGCACATCAAAAATACATCGGAGAATGTTGTTTTAATGTTGAAAAACCTTCTAATTGATCATCTCGACATCGAGATGTATGAAAATGAAAAACAATAAAATAAAATTTATGAGTCCCATAAATTTTGCATCTTGTGACACATTATCTAGACCGTCCATTTTCAATATTTTCATATGTGTAGATCTACTTGATTTTAACTATCTTTAAAGTTTAAAATTTTATAATTAAATATAAAAATAGATTTTCAGATAATCTCAAGATTTTGGAGCTGCATCTTAATTGGATTGTTTAAGGTTGCAACCTTATAGAGACTACACCCAAATCCAAAAAGTGGGCAATCCATTTTTGATGTTGCTTTTATTTATTTGTTAGAAAAAAGTACTAGAGAGAGAAAGGCCAAGTAATATAAAGTACCCCAATCATCATAATAACTCTCCCTTTCCCTATATTTGTAGGGCCTTGACCCATATCTTTAAGAATTGGGCCTCAACAAATCACCCTATCATTATTTAGTAAGAGTGAGGATAGTTATGTTATAAGACATGATTGGCTTTTAGAGATGGATCTTTTAATTCAATATTTTAATTTTAATCTTTTTGTTTTTAGATTTAGATTGATTTATATAGAGACTCGAATTTTTTTTTTTTCTAAAATTCTGAATGTTTCATTTATAGGCGGAAGGTCGGTCATCTTGCCTTTTTTGTTATTTTTTTCAAAATTGCCCTTAACTCTGAAGACAGAATCTTCGGTCCAAATTTTATTTTTATTTTTTTAAAAAAAGTGGGTTGACTAACTTTCTTTGTACTTTTCACCTATAAATGGAGCATTTTGTATTTTAGGAAAAATTTTAGGGTCCATTCGTAAATCACTCTTAGATTTAAGGTTTAAAAGATGGGAAATGTTTCTATACTTCCCCCATCCAGCTGTCCAATTTAGATCAAGTAGATTCGATGCCTTATAATATTTTATTTTTATATTTTTACGAATTTTATGAATATGAAGTTTGGTATGTGCCATTTTCTCAATGAGGTATACTTAAAAAAAATATTAAAAAGAGTTTTTCAATAAAATATAATGATCAAAATACCCCTTACACTTTTTAGGGGTATTTTGATTATTTTATTTTATTGAGCATTATTTTGTATTTCTTACCGATGTAAGTTTAATTGAGGAAGTGGACACTCAAAATTTGGTGTTAAAATATTTGTAAAAAAATGAAAAATAAAATAGTGTAGAGATGTTACATTGTGATTGGGGCCTTCTCAACAGTCCATTGGACAAGGAGAAGTATATAAATTTTATACGGTAGAGAAAGCTTAAAAGGCTTGGCCTTAAAATATTAGACCAGTGCCTGGGAATGCCTTTCACATGTTACTACTGTCTGGATGTTTACTCTCTATTTTCTTACATGTACATTTCATCATGGCATGACGTCATATTGTTTTGGAAAAAGTTTATGCATATCAAAAAATCAACGAAAAAGGTTGTTTTGAGTCCCAAAAACCCTCTAATTAAGCATCTCGACATTGCATGATTATGAAAAAAAAAAGGATTTTGAGTCTCAAAAGTAGTGTATCTTACAACACATTATCTAGACCGTCCATTTTCAAAAATTTCATATGTTTATATATCTACTTGATTTTAACCATATTTGGAGTTTAAAATATTATAATTAAATATAAAAATAGATTTTGAGATAATCCTAAAAATAATTTACATCAAAATTATATGTTATAATCAAATTTGAAGGTGCGTCTTAATTGGATTGTTTAAGGTTGCAACTTTATGGAAACCACACCCTATTGTTTTCACGTAATTCTTTGATTTTCGCAATGAAGAAAGTCGGTGCCTGCTCAACTTCATTTTGTGTTTTGTGGATTCAAGATTGAGCTTTTGAGTTTTCCTTTCATAAGAAATATTGCATTTGAGAGTGCCTGATAATGGTGCTTTTTGATAGCTTACTGACTAAACTTTATAAACTTAATAATTGAAAAATTATAAACCAAAACTTTTTAATGAGATTTTTCAAGAATATATAAATTAGAGGAAATAAGATTGTCTAAATAAATACAATGATACCTTGAAGAAAATGTAGAACTAAAATAAGAATTGTACATCATGTTTCTTTGTTTAACACTTTGGCTAATGATTTGTTAATTTATTTATTGAATACGGGGAGAATGATGCGAGGGATTTCACTTTGTGCCAATGGAAGTTTGTATACATGATTGAGAAAGGTTTCTATGCTTTCTTTATTGCATAAAACTTTTGTACTTTCTCTCCGTCCAACTATCTATTTTAGATCAAGTCAGCGACTAAC